GAAAGAAAGAAAGAAAGAAAGAAAGAAAGAAAGAAAGAAAGAAAGAAAGAAAGAAAGAAAGAAAGAAAGAAAGAAAGAAAGAAAGAAAGAAAGAATCCACACCCTGTCTCAAGTTTAAATAAGGTTTTGCTAACTCTTTCAGAAAAGCTCAAAACTCATTCCCTATACATAAAATAACTGCAACCAGACTACTTATGCTTCAAGATTTAAGACCAAAATCAGTGTTTGTGAACTTGGTGGAAATACAGAATTGCCAATGACTGCAAACAGTTCAATGGTGAGTTGTGGTAAGGGTGAAATTTTATATGAAAACAGAGAATCGAGAATTATTGGTGATAATTCTCTCTTTGGAATTAAAATAGGGCAATACAGAACTCTCCAGCTCTTATAGAAGTTCTCACAAAACCTTAAACAGTTAAAAGTGACTTTGCATGGATGCATACTTGGAAAATACTTAAAACTTAACCTTGATGTTGAATAGGAAATAATATCACTAATGTGGGTCAATTATTCCATCTGATACTAGTTTTAATCTTTCACTATTATTTTTCTTGATTGATGAAATAAGAGTATGACGATAGGCTCAGTGATAATATGGCAGAGGAATAAAGAGGATGAAGGATAAATGAGGGAAAATGAGATTAAGACCAATTAAGGATGCGCTAGCGTTGACTGACAGAGACCCTACACTGCACACAGCATATCTTCAAGCTGGAGTGGACATTCCTTGATTGTGGGGTAGGGTCATGCCTTGGTCCTGCTGCCTGATGGTCTAGGCTGAGGGAGGCTGCCAAGGATAATTAAAAAAAAAAAACAAGGGGGATGTAGAGACATAGTGTATATCCAGGTCTTAGCTTGAAAAAGAAACGTGATCATGAAAAGATTTAAGATGAAAGGGGATGAGGTTGTTATAAGGATTTAGCTTGTTTAGTGCTCAGCATAGATAGAATTCAAGGCATTATATTATTATTATTACTTTTAGAAATAAAAGCTACATACACCAAGCAACTTTTCCTTCAGGACCTGTTGTTTGGAAGACACAGCTTTTTAATCCCAAGCAAATTTGCATAGATATGGTCCCAATCTTCCTCACTCAGTTTTGTATTTGAACTTCCTCAACATTCAATACTTTCAAGAGTATCTTTTTTCTTTGATACTACTTTTAAGAGGAAAAATAGTGAAAGAGATGTAGAAAAAAATGTTTCAAATAGTTCATACTTTATATTGCTTCAGGTGCCAGCTCCAGCATTTTTACCTTATCACGTCATGGGCGAAAGATTAGTGGTGGTAAACCATATCTTTCACCACTATTATCTTTCTTAATGTAATTGACTGTGATGAAAGAGTAATAATTTTTCAGGGGATTATTTTTATATAAATTTTGATTTTTTCTAAGATGGTAATTTTTTTGTGTGTGTGCTTATGTGCAGTCATATCTATGACTAACAGACTTCTTCCCTCCCCACATCAAATTCTATTCTGTGTTATACTGTGTTATACTTTACTGAAGAGGTAAAGTGCCTGAATAGTTCCTGACAGCATTTTTTGAAAAAAATCAATTTTTTTTTGAGACTCGTATTTCCTCAACAGTGACATTTAACAGAGTCAGAATTTGATGTCAGTAGTCTCCTACTCTATATTTTTAATCACAATGTTTTTCGCAAAGAGATAATAAGCACCTATTTTTTTTTTCTCAGTGATTTCTATTCACTATCTATATTCATGTCTTTTCAAATAATCTGTGCCTTCCTACCACTTGCTGTCAGAAGCAGAGTGATGTTTCTGATGACTACCCTTTAGTTAAAGTTTCAGTTCGTCTTTCAAAATCCAGTATTTTTAAGTGAAGTTCTGAGCAATGTGAAAGCTTAGGGTTTGTGAAACTCCTTCTCTCTTTCTCTGAGAGGGCAAGGCCTACCAAGACTGTGGATTCTGGAACTAACTCTGTAGATTAGTATAACGAAAAAGACAATAGGTTAACCTCATGGTGGGTCTAAAAGAGGAACTATAATTTTACCAGGACTACAGAGCAGATCATTTCTCCTCATGCAGTTTACTGTTCAAACAGCTTTTCTCTCAAAACTCTGAAATGTACATACTTTGTTGCTAATGCTCTTATAAATTTACAAGATTTTTAACATTGTTTGGTGTTCCTGAACATAATTACTTGAAATGTAGACATGCTGCTTCCCAAAGAGTGCTAAGGTAATGAAAAGATTCAATATTGTATGGAAGTTCATAGGTAATAACCAGCAAAAGAAAGGCAAGCGCTAGCTAATATATATATATANAAAAAAAAAAAAAAAAAAAAAAAAAGTTGAATACTACCAATAGGATATGGCTTTCTTAAAAGTACTCACATACCTGCTATAGTTCACAATTTAATATTTTTCCTTTTGATATTGGCACTCCATAATGTATTTAACAAAGCCTCACTCTAAATATTTGCACTTTGAGATTTAGAAAAGGGCTCAAAATAGATATTCCTTTTCCTGAACTGAATGTGTGTGTATCCTGCATAAACACTGCAAAAATATTTTATGAATCAGGTCCTTAATTTTCACAATTTCAGAGGCATTTACATGCATTTCTCCAAAAGGAATAGCACCTATCTTCACTTACAAATAAAACAGAAATATTTTAACACTTTCAGAAGCTTTAACTTTGGGCTTTCAAGTGCAATGCTTTTTTTTTTTTTTTTTTTTTTTTGGTACAATAAAATTGTATATGTTTTTTTTGCCTAGAGGATGAAAAACAGCAGTGTGCATTTTAATTGATATTTAATATAAGTATATGTGTAAGACTGTGGACACAAGATCAAATATTCTGCTCAAAAATGATATGTCAATACAAGTCTCCCAGATTGGCATTTTTGACATGCCTTGTAGTTGAACCAGTTGAACCAAAAAAAAAAAAAAGTGGATTTTCACTAAGTTGATTAGAAAGACAGATGAGAATTGATATGAAGTTACCTGTCTGCAAGGACCTGAAGTTAGACCTTAAATCTCCCATCTGTAGACTGTCAAAGAACTCATAACATCGTGTCAATAAACCCAAACATCTGATTTGAAGTAATTGCCATGAAAGTGATTCAGGCCACAAAAGTCAATGGTAAATATCTTTTTAACATCAGTGGCTCCTGAATCAAGTCCCCAGAGAAAGAAAGCTTCACAGACAAATGTAGTTCTCTCAACTATACAGGAATACAAAACTGAACAAAATGATCGCCACTCTTCTTAGCAATGTAAATCTTGGTTTAAAATTCATATTAGAACAGGCAGATTTAGCTTAGTTTCAGTTAGTGAGATCTAACATAGTTTGAGTTCAAATGTGTGCATGTTGAAGTATAATGTAGTCAACTATCACTGGAGGTAAAAACCTCTGAAATATTTTAATTCATCTATTTGCTGTATTTTAGATATAGAGTCCACCAATTATTTTCCTTCCTACATAAACTTTTACATCCATATTGTAAATGTTTATACACACATAATTAGTATTTTTAATTTAATAGGCATACAAAAAGAAAAAAAAATCCAATATGCTTCCTTCAGTTGTTCTGTCTCTTTAGAAAAAATCCTTCAGCTAATTTTGTTAAATATTAGTTATAAATATAGTGTAGGGAGATTATTTCAGCAGATTTTACTAATGCATTGAACATGAACTTGACGTGTCTTCTCTAAAAAAGTTTAAGAGATGCATTTATGTCAGAAATTATTTTGAAAAAAGACTTTTTGTTACTAGAAGGCTTATCTGTCTTATTTGACTCTGGTTGTCCAGATTTTGAATGAACTCATTTACATATAATTGCTACCTATGTAACTGAAATAAATGAACGGTAAATAGTAATTTAACTTGGGAGCCTTGTCAAGGAGCAAAAATCTGTTCCCATCCAATATTGTGACTGATCACTGTTACTACAAAACCTGGCCTGTGTTTTGAAAAAAAAATAATAATGGAAGTCATAAATATTGACTTCTGAGCTATACTGCAGGTTAAATATTGGTTTCCCTTTCTGAAGGATCTTCTAGAGCTTTGTTGGACCTGCTGGAAGCATCGTCATTCTCATTATTTGTTAATGGTTCAGCTTCTTTTGGGTCCGCGTTCTTCTGTGCTTTCTGCTTCTCATCTTCTAACTTCTTTTCTCTTGCCAAAAGCCTGTAGTTAATGGCATTGCCAATGAACAACCAGATACTGGCCACAATCACGATCACTCCACAGACAAAATACATGTATTGATATTCCCCAGTAACATCCACTAACCAACCTGAAAGACCAAGAGAAGAAAAAAAAAAAAAAAAAAAGGTCAGATTTGAGAACAGAATATACATTGCATTCCACAACTTCCCCCAGGAGAAATATCTGTAAGTTTTGAAACTGAAACAGAAAAGTATTTTCAACAAGTTCTATTTATCTAAAATATGTACCAGACCTGTAACAAATCTTGTATTAATCAAACTAGCAATTGCCATTGGAATTACTGACAGCAATAAAATCTTGAAGAATAAAGTAAGTAAAGCCTAATGAACAATGATATACAGTTGTTAGTTCTTTCTTTTCATTCCTTTGTTTTTTTGTGGGTTTTTTTTTTTTTTTTTCCACTTCCTAATTTTTTTTCCTATTGTTTGGAACTGACTGGCACTCACAGACAACAGGATGCCTACAGACAAGAGGATGAAAAGGTATGTGCCTTCCCTGGCTGCTGCCACTGTGTATCAAGTGTTTGCCTTTCATTTTTACTTTCCTGTGCCTGATAAAGAAATAGAAAGGCTCATCCCTTCAGCCGTCATTTTCAACTGATGAATTTTGAACTCTGAAGTCTTTTCCTCAGAATTAAACGCACACTTCTGAAGGTAATTTTCTTATTGCAAGGAAAATAAAATATAACTGTTCTCTTACTTTATGAGCCATTCTTTATGGATTTCTGTGCTCCCAAATCAACATATCCAAGTACTTAGCTCTGAACTCAGCTACACTATCATTGAAATTCATAGGATAACTTGCACACTTCAATTTAGTGTGTGTATTTAGATGCTTTTACTGAGTCGGAGCCGTAATGCCAGATTATTTACCTGATGCACATTTACAAGCCATCAAATTATTTTACTCTTTGCTTTATTTCACAAGCCTTGTATTAGGAAGAATTCAAATGATATTACTATAACACTGAAAGTGTATAATTCACCCATTAATAAAAAGAATAAAATTTACTGGATTTTATATACAGGCAATCTGGTAAAACTGATTAAAAATGAAATTCTCCATTAACATTATTTCAGCATAACATTTAAAAGATATGAACTAGTCAAAACTGTAATTTAGCCACTTTTGTGTGTTGATCCCCTTTGTTGTCTCGATTTAACTAGAGAAGTCAATTATTCACACAGTCATAGCACAAACACACTTTTCTAAATTTCTGAATAACTAACACAGACTCTATTGCTCCATTAATATTAGATTAAATTTCTTTGGAATTAATATTAAGATCTATTTCAGAACCTGATTGAGAATGCTAGATTCAGTCGCCAGTCTAGCCCCCCACTAGGTGGCACAGAAAGAGCCTATATTAGGATAATATATTTTGGTCTGCCGTCACCAAAATGAATTCATACGCTAAAAGATCATGGAAATATGGAATATCTTGAAAACTATTAAACCATTTATTTGTAAAAACATTGTCATATTGTAATGAGTAGAATTATTTTGCTTTATCTAAATTTTTATTCAATGCTATTTTGACACAGATTCTGACCATAATGCCAAAAATTCATGGACATAAGTGAGTACTTTAATCTTGGTGTTTTCTGTGTCTCTGCTTGTTTGAATCCAGGGGAACAAGTGAATGTTGACAGGACTGGTCATTTTCTCATTATTTTTACCAAGAAACTTTATCAGTATTTTTACATTTTAGGGCTCTCCTTGCACACACAGACACATGCTTAGCTTACACTTTTCAATAAGATTTGAATATGCATTTTCTTTTGTCTCATATCCAGAAAACTTTAGCACTCTAAATCTTAACAACAGCATTACTAAATACTTATTTAAAAATAGCAGAAAATCCTTCAAGAATATTTTCATCATTTTTGACTCGAGGAGACCAAAGATTATGAATATAGTCCAAACTATTCACCCAGGCTCCCTTTAAGCTCTTCTCATACTCAGAAGAGAGAATTAGGCAACATCATCACATTTCAATCTATGTAGGATGATTTACTCTCTAAATTACCTTACACCTATTTACTGGCTAAAAACAGGCTAAACAGATGGCGGAGATGTAGCATGAAATGTGTGGCAGGGCATAGCACTCCATGGCAGAGGCTGCTGAGAGCCTCTCTCTTTTCTGGCACATTCTTGTAGCTAGACAAGCAAATCCTCTGCATTTGGACAAAATCACATTCAATTTTTGTTTTAAGTGTGTGTCTCTTTAATTGCCATTAATTTAGAAAAATTATAAGCCTTTCTAAGAGATCTTCATGAAAATGGACTTAATGGATTCAGTCTATTTAGGGGAGTAAGAGCTGTGTTGGCAAAAAGCAAAGAGAAGTGAGTACAGGCAGATTAAGATTGCAGCGTTAGTACCAAGTGTTACTAGGAAAATATCCATTTATCATTTGGACTTATTGGCGCAGGTGAGATTTGCTGTAAATCTCTCTATTACACCTGCATACAATGTGCACCTGCAGAGCTTCATGTGAATCTGTAAAGTGCGAAGATAGTCAGAGCAGTGCAGTGCTAAGGTATATGAAAAATCACAGGTAAAACGTTAAATAACATTAAGAACAATTTTTACACTAATTCAATACTAAATTGCATATTTACACTGTGATGTCATTAAAAAAAAAAAAAAGAAAAAAAAAGAAAGAAAGTAAGAAGAAAAGACAAGCATTTCTTACCTCCTAGAGGAGGACCTATGAGAACAGGACAACATTCCACTATAGTGACAAGTCCAACAGCACTGGAAAATCTGGCAGCACCAACGAGGTCCATCAATGTCTCAAAAAGTACACTGCTAACCATTCCAAATGCAAATCCAAAAAATACAGAATATATCACCAAGCCAGTGTAATTTGTTGCCAGAGGGCACAAAATATGGCAGACACCATTGTAAAAGACAGCAAAACTAAAAAAGTACTGGATCTTTGGCCGGATAAATTTGGAGTTTGCTACAAGTCCCATTGAAGGTCTAGCAAACATGTCTACAAAGGCTAAGATAGAGAGCAAAAAAGCAGCAGAATATTCATCAATTCCCTTGTGCTTGGCATAAGGAGCCAAGAATACGATTGGAGCGAAGAAACCAACAAACATAATAACATTTCCTGATAAATAAATCAGAAAACCTCTGTGTTTGAAGAGGGACAAATCTAGGTACTTATTCATAGTTTGCCAAAAAGATTTCTTGTTGTTTTTGTGCAAGGTAGAGTCGCCTTTCTCAACATCTTTTTTTGCAGGAGGGACTGTTTTTGGTCCAACAGGTCTCATCAGTGACCCTGCCACACAGCAGTTCAAGAGAAGTCCTCCCAGGATGAGAAAGCTTCCTTTCCAGCCAAACGCATTAAAGAGGAATTGATTGAGAGGCGCCAATGTACTTAGAAACACTGGACTTCCAGCCATGGCCAATCCATTAGCAATGGGACGCTTCTTATAAAAATACTTGCCAATCATGGTCAAGGCAGGCTGCAAGTTGAATGCTAAACCCAGACCTAAACAACACAAGGAACACAGTATGTCATTACTGCATGTCATGCACTAAAAAATATTCCCCACAATAGCCCAATTATTTTTCCAATGATCAGTATACAATCCAGCAATTTTTTAATGAGGATGAAAAGCAACCAGCATTAGAGAATAAAACACAATTTCACTGCTTTCTATGGGAGTTAATGCAAAGCCTGTGTCATGGTGGCGTTGTCATTTCCCTCTGCAGCATTACAATAAAAGCCAAAATTCATTGCTCTGTTTCAGCAATGACAGGAATGATGATATCAAAAAACTTGACTACACCATTTTTGTTTTTACTAAGCTGTAACACAATTCTCTCTTGGCTCATTTCACAAAAGTTATTAAATGTCACCTCAGTTACAAAGATTGCAGAGTGTATTTAAACGTAAAAATCTCCTCACTTTTTATATTGAGACCAATCGAAGAGATATTTAAATCTCAAAAGTGAAGATTAAAATGTCTAATAATTTTGGAGCATATCTAGTCCCACTTCTCAAGTTGCGGAAGTCACCATTATAGGTGGCAATGTTGTGGAAGAGGAGGACATACGTGGGAGCAAAATAATCCTCATTTCAGTATGGGATACTCCACAGTTTTTCTGCATCCTTAAACCTCCTGTCTGTAGTAAGATATCTAGGTAATACAGGATAAGTAGCTATGAATCTGCATAGAAAGAGGTCTTCTTCTCTGATGACCCCATTCTTCAGCCCTAATCTTATTTTCGGGTGTTAAAAAAAAAAAAAAAAAAAAAATGGAGCTTTAACAAATACATCCTGAACTAGGAGACTTCTATATTCACTTCTACATGGTGCTTGCATACAGGAGAAAGTATTATCTCACTTATGTATTATCTCTCATTATTTGACCTCTAATCTCACTTGCCTTCTTTTTATTCAGAGAAGATGGTTCAAAAAACAATGGTGAAGTGAAATTTAATTTACTGGCTTTATTATCACATTAGTTCATTTCCTTAGTAATTTTCAGGCCTTTGATGAACAATTTTATTTTGGATTGACTTGAATTTTAAGCAGAAAGTTATTAAATTGAAAATTGTCATAATTTTCTATGAGATTATATGCCTGCACAAGCATCCAGAAAGGTGCCACTAGGTTTAGTATTTTTACTAGAATTTTTTTTAGCCTCTGCTACCCCATTGGAAGAAGAGCATGACTGAAAGCTAAAACAATGAATGTGAAATTCTATACAAATAACTGTAATAAGTGCTGTCACCAGCCAATCAATTTTTATACCATAATTACAGTGCAGGGTCGAATGGTACATACACATAGCATTTACTGAATAAAATAATCATCTGTTCCTAAAATAGAAAAGACATAATTTAACATCATTTAAAAGATTAGATAGTTCAAGCAGCTGAAATGAACTGATCTTGCTACCCTCCTGTTTTCCAATGCATTGCACAGGGAGGGTCCTGTTCACTAAAGCTCATTGGCAAAACAGTAGTAGAAATAACATAAGCAACACTTTTTAAACAGCACCCTTACCTCCAACAACACCAATGCATAGATAAAGTTCCAGGACACTGTTGCAGAAAGAGGAAGCAATCATCCCAAATGAACACAAGATACCTCCTGCTATCATCACAGGCCGGCTGCCATACTTATTCACTAAAATGCTGCTTATGGGACCTGTTGGTAGAGAAAAAATACATTAACAGGCATTCCGCTAGATATGCACTTGTATTTAGGACTATTTAAAATCTGATAATATTCAGTCCTTGAAAAAGATTAAATGTTTCCATACTGATTTGTCTAACAAATGTACTCTGTGAACTAGCAGAGATATAAATCTGGCTGTAGGTATTTTGCCTCTTTGACTATGTTTTCATGTACATGCACATATATATGTGTACATATGTATATGCACATATCCATACACAGATTTAATCATGAGATAGATCAACAGATTAAAGACATGAGACAAGCAAGAAGAATTAGTACAGTTACCAAGAATCAATACTGTGATCAGTCAATGGAAGTGGAAGCACTGATGAATTTCAAGTATCAGGAAGAAATCAAAATTCTAGCTAACAATGTAAGAGGAACCTTCAGGTAGGCTAAATAATAACTAAATTTTTCTTAACACTGCAGCACCCCCAGGATCCTGATTTCAACCTCAGTCAAGCTAGAGTACAAATCTCTGGCGTATAAGACTCATTTTCCCTTATTTGACCTAAAAAGAAGTGTTAATGGGCAATAAGATGACTGTAAGTTTTCTGGGAAAATCTAAGATGTGGTTTAGCAAAAAGAACTATAAACTGGATATATTGCTAAATTCTGATTTTCAGTTTCAGCTGCAGTTCAGTTTACGGTATAATCATGTCCATACTAAACAAATAAGTAGCTTGCAATTTAGCATGACATGCATTATATATATATATATTTTTTAATGACCATGGCTAGAATAGATGGTGTGTTGCATATCAAGATTAAGAGGTAGTCAAAGCTCTTTAGGTGAACTTGCATGCCATCTGATTATACTATATTTGCTCCAACCCATTAAGGTCTTACTTTTGCAATAACTAAACCCATCCAATGCAAATATAAAAATACTCAGAATAAAAAGTAGTGAATTTCAAACTGAAGATAAAACAGGCACCTGATATAAAATGAAACATCAAGGACTGCATTTAATTTCACTGCAAATCATTCATTGTATTCATTATAGTTCAAGTCTCTTGCATTAAATATCTACAGGAATTAATGCCAGAATTTTCATGAAGAGAAAAAAAATCCAACCAAATTCAGTAATGTGTGTTTCATAGATGTGGTGCAATTTAGGCTGCATCGTTTAAATTGTCTTAAAGGTACTAAAGTATTAGTATAGATTTGTTGTAATTGTTAAATTATTACTTGCATATCAACAGCAAGTCTTAAATGTATCCAAAAAAAACATCGTTAGCCTACTTCCTTAGAGAAATAAGCCTATATGCTTATGACTGTGTTGCCCTCTGCCTCCCACCTTCCCTATAATTTTAGAATCCAAAGGTTTGTTCCAAATGAAATGGTTTTAAAATCAGAGATTTCAGCAATATATCTTGCAGCTTATGTTTTTATTAAGTAGCTTGGATCCCCAAACAGTGCAGAAAATTCTATGTTAAAAAAAAAATAAAATAAAGGAGACTCCCTGGCTGCTGATCACAGAGCTTGGGACTAGTAAAAGCTTCTTTCAGCTTCTGGTCCATGTAGCTGTGCAGTCTGAAGTATATAGAGGACTTAAAGGGTAGCTAACAGGGTAGCTGTCATCCTACAGGTAAAGAAGGTAAAGGCTCAGCTGGAAACACATAAACAGAAGAAACCAGGCTCTATTAGTTCTGCTGCAGTTCAAGTATAACTGTCTATTGAAACAAGGGAACTTCCTTAAAGATTTATGGCCTGGGATGTCCAACTAATTATACAAAAAGGGAGAGACTTATTAAAAGACTTTAAATCAAATATAAGACATGAAAACATTTAGCTGACAGCCTGTATTAGGAGATACCTAACACATCTTTATTCCTGTTTGGGTGGAACCACTGAGTAGAAAAACAACGATAAGGTGGAGCCTTCTTTGAAGCCACAGGAGAAGGCAATGAGATGAAAAAGACTGACAAGTTATGCTCAAAGGTCCAAACCTATCATGCCTTCAGTCTTAACAAACTTGTGTCAAAGCATAGTTTCAGGCATGACTTTTCTTAGATAAATATTTTTGAACAATCAATAGTTTGGCTCCTGTTTGAAACAAAGACATTTTTGAAATGTGTGAACTAGATAAAATATTTCCTGTGGATCAAAACACAAAAGAAAAAGGGAAAGGGAAAGGGAAAGGGAAAGGGAAAGGGAAAGGGAAAGGGAAAGGGAAAGGGAAAGGGAAAAGGAAAGGGAAAGGGAAAAGAAAAAGGCTGCCACCTAACTCAGAGCAAAAAAATAGTTAACCTTTCTAAAAAAAATCCATAACAGCAACATTTCACTTCCAAAATGCTACAATGTGATAAGATGGAAGTATTTGCAAAAGTGATCTGATCTGAATTCAAGAGTTTTTTCAGCATTTGTTAATATTTTGATCAAAAAACTTCTTGGAGTCATAAGTGTTGATTTTGAAAAAAATTCTTTTGATGAACCTTAGGAAAAAATCTAGGAAAGAGGAATCATAATAAAGGAAAATTTGTCTGAAAATCTGAAAAAGATTTATTCAGTAGAGACAGCACTTGGAATTGTGCTCTTATGTGAAGACTTATGTAATAATCCAGATATTGAAAGATCTGCTAAGTTTCTTTTCTCGTTAAGTAAAGACAGGGTGGAAAAGTCAGAAGTACATGTGTGAGACTGTATGAAAAAGATTAGGATAAAGCCAAACATTGCAGCTTCAAAAAAGAGAAGAGAGGAAAACCATTATAAAAGATTACTGTGCAATATTGCTATATTGTTGACTTATTTTAAATAAAACTAAGAATAAAAAAAAAAAAAAAAAAAAAAACCAGCATTGTACAGCACTGGCAAACATTTCAAATGATAACCAAGCTCAGTGGTAAGCTCTGTGGTAATAATCCCCCAAAGGGATACTAACTATAATGAAAATTTCCTCATTCTTGAATAGTTTCATCAAACCTTACTTCGTTCTCCTAGAAAGTAAAGAAGTCAGTAAAATTATCCAATTGTTTTGTCTGCAAACAGTTCTTTCTCAGTAACAAAGAAATTGCTCTACCAATCTAATTCTTGCAGTTAGGTCACGTCCATAAGTTACAGCTTTACAGTTCCAAACATATAACTTCACCTATATAACAATCAGTTACATAGAGGTCATATATAGACATAATGATGCAATTACAGAGTGGTTGAAGACACCAGTGGAAAGTCAAAGCTGTCTGATGAGTCCAACTCTGTATTTTCTGATGAACTAAACCTTGAATGAATCACAGAATCAAGGCTGAACGTGGAAGAGACCTATAGCACACTGCATGGGGTCGCAGCCAAGCAGGTTTTGAATATTTCCAGAGAAGGAGACTCCAAAACTTCTCTGAGCAAAAATAGACATAAACTGAAAATGAATTGAATATTCTTTCACTCTTGCTTTGAGAAACTTTTTTCAAGTTAGTGATCTTAGATGATTTACCATCGTATCTCCATTTCCCTCTCTTCCCCTCCTCCTTTCTTTCTATTAAATATATTGTGGTATTTTGATTTAAATTTCATGTATTTTGAGAATACTGTTATATAAACCATAAAACTTGATTAAGCCAATTCTATAAGGAGTTGGAACCCCTACCTAGGAACCCTTCAGAGAGCTGATGATTGTGTGAATCATTTTCCTGTGACATCCGTGTATATTCTTGGGTTTGGAGTTTCCTAAAATGATACACATCCAGACTTCAATGCATATATGAATCTACATAAATTGCAGGTAATCATAGCCTTTATAGCCATGCACAATTTTATTTTGGCTTTGGAGGGCATTATTTCTTTTGACATTATTTAAGCCATGCTCACATGCTATCATGTATCTATACTCCTTGTATTTTTTCTTATTTTTGGATAAAGCAAAATTGGGCTATTTAAGTAATGTATCACTGGCAAAATCGTGCTATGCATTAATTCAAGTTAATGCACTAAAGGCCTGCTGGACATGTGTGTCTACTCTCATGAAGCCTAAAGTAACTACATAACAGATGTTAAGTCAGAAAGTGCCCACAAGAATATTTACTCTGATTTCTCCCTTAGCACCTACAAACCTCCAGCCACAAAAACTTCTGACTCCCTAAAACAAATTTAAGACCATTACCATAATATGCTAACAGTCTTCTGGCTGTATTTTTATTGCATATCTTTCAGCTTGAGGTAATTATCAGACTCGCAGAAATAGAATGAGATTGCAGCTATAAAAGGGCCACTGAGGAAGAGTTTCAGGAGGGGCTATATAGTGCAATGCAAAGCTTGGAGACAAGCAACAGAAAATAGAAACTTAGTGTTCTTAATCACACTCCAAAGTGAAAGAAGGCCAAAGCCATTTCAAATATGTGAGCAGGCAGTGCTTCATTCATTTGGACTATTATAATGCTTTATAAAAACCCTATAATAACACCAAATGACACTTTTTTTAATGAAATAACACCAAACAACACCAATTTTAATGAAATTCTGTTTTGATGACTATGCAAAACACTTATTTTCATTTATGTACTCTGGAAAATATAACGATAAGGCTGCTCTGACTAGATTTTGGCAAAATATATTTCTTAAAAATGAAATTTATTTTATTTTAAAAGAACAAAGGTAGCAATAATCTATGTTCTCCTCTCACAAGTTTAATTTTATGATCAACATTTAAATCTTCCTTCTGCTAAGTCTTTCTCCATTGTTGTTGCAAATGAAAAGTAATAAAAAGACTACATAACTGAATAATAAGTAGGCTTATTTTGAAGAATTAATCACTTTTTTCCACTTAAAAAAGGCTTCATGTACTAATATTGTCTAAATGGAATTTGAAGTACATTCTTGCTAAATGTTCTTGTTAAAGAAAGGTATGGGTTGCTATTTTTGTGGAAACAGATGCAGAGCTCAAACTAAGTACTACAAATACAGTGTATTTAATATATTTAATATTCTTTCTCATGTAGTTCCATTCTCAGAGACAAAAACACACTTGTGTATAC